AGAAATATTAATAAATTTGAGTGTGCTCATGATGGCACTGAAACTCACAGTAATGGTGGTGGTTTTATTGACCTTTCCAAAGAAAAGGCTGAGATGAATAAAGTGGTTGAGAATTTAGAGCATCAACTTGTGGAAATGCATGAAGAAAATGAAAAACTAATGGGTTTGTATGAAGGAGCCATGCAGGAGAGGGATGAACTTAAAAGAGTGCTTGCTTCCGGTGGTCAGAAAAGTGTTACAGTGAAGGGAGAATTTGATTCCCCAGAGAAGCTTGTTGAAGTTGATGGAGGTGCTTCTCCTATGTCTCTGGAGGAAAAGAATTGTATTGGCGAAAATGGTCTTCCTGGTTCTGATGGAGGAGAAAGCCGTCAGTTTGAGAAACCTACTTTATGTCAAGGGGCAGTCTCAATGGAGGAATCGGGTTTCTCTGGATCAAATGTGCGAGGTGGGCTCAGTCATATATCTGATGAAGTGAACCCAGATACTGAAGAAAGTGGTGGCTCAAGAATTTTGGTTGATAGAGCTGGTCTATGTACTGTTAATACTGAAGCAAATTCAGGAAATGAGGTTGATGCTGGAACTCAGTCTGACATGGAACTGGAGACATCAGATCTCACTGCAGTAAAGCTTTTAGAAGCGCTAAGTTTGGTCAGAAAGAAACTGGAAACAGCAGATGAACAACTTTTAGATTCTGCAAAAACAGTTACCATATTTGGTTCCCTTGAGAAAGTAATGTTAGAGGTTGGCAAACTCTCAGGAGAAATTGAAGCAATGGAAGCTGAAATTCAGGCCAAGCAGCAGCTTTTTGAATCATGTGAACTCTTCACTTCAAAAGTGAAAGAAAACATCGCTCGAATTGACAAGAAGCTATCAGCTCTCAAATACTCCCTATCTAGCTTTTCTTCATCTGTAGTTTACTTTGAGCAACGAGAGGCTCGGGCAAGAGCAAGGGTAGCTGCTTCAACATCTTATCTGGAACAAAAGAAAGGGCAATTGGGCTGCCTACAAGCACAGAAGGATGAAATAGCTGCTGCTCAGAGGGAAATGCAAGGATCTGAAGCAGAACTAAAGATCAGTCTGGCATGCTTGAAGTCAAAACTGGAGGAAGAAAATCGAAAACAAGAGAATGAACAGGTTCTATTTGCCATAGATAATGTTGAGAAGTTAGCCCCCTCACAACAAAATTGGCATTTGGTGGGAGGTAAAGCTACCGAGTTACTGAAGTCTGCGGAAGAGAAAACTAAACTGCAGGCGGAGATGAAGACATCTCGAGAAAAACTTGGAGTCATGAGAAGGGAACTTGAGGATTTGAACGTGAAGTCTGGGAAGGTAGATAAGGAGATGCTAGCTGTTCAGGCGGAGATACAGAAAGGCATCAAGTCTGCGGAAGAGATGGAACTTGCCCTTCAGAATGTAATTCAGGAGAAGGAGATGCTGTTGGAAGTAAAAGATAATGGGAAGGCCGAAGCTGAAAGTCTGGTTGTTGAGTACCAGCAGCATGTGTTTGAATCGGTTTTGAAGGAGGCCGAGTCAAAGATTGTGGAGGAAGAATTGCAGATTGAGTTAAGAATGTTGGAAGAGCTGCGCACGGCAAGGGCTTTAGCCGCTGCGAAGACAATGCAGTTGTTGGACACAAGGTCTGGTTCATGTTTGTTATCAGAAAAGATGGAGGAAGAGCTTCAAAGTGTTAGGAAATATGTTGTGGAGGCAAAGTCATTGTTAGGTGAGAGCTATTTAAATTCAAATGTCAGTTGAAGTCCTTGATCAACTGTCAACTGGGTTACACTTGTAATTAGCAATCACTTTTCTCTTCTGTTTTGGATTAGCAAAACAGTGTTTACTGCTTTAAATCAATAATTGTTTTGTTTCTTTTGCCATGTTAAATAGAAATCATTGTCACAAAATTAATTGGATCTCATACATTAATATGGATGGTCTGGAGTATGAAGTTCCTCATCGTGCTGCTGACTCCATTTGCCATGAAGCAACATTTATTGTAATCTATATTTGCTAGAGCATACAAATTGGCATTAGGTTAAGGTTATTTAATTGAAGAGTTAAGGTTAGTTTGGAATGCTAGTGTTTCTTATTTTCAAATTTTCTTTCTTTTCTTCCCTTTATTGACGTAGAAGAGATAGCAAACTCCTTACTTAAAACTACACCAAAAGAGTCTAACCTAGTGGAAAAGGGTCTTGACTTGTAGACTAGAGGTCTTAAGTTCAAATTCCCATGATATCATAATTGTGTGTGTGTGTGAGAAATCTCCGTATTCCTTAAACCTTAGGAAAAAGCCAAAAAGCCAATTTTGACTTTTCAAAGGGACCAATACAAGCCTTGAAAAATCTAGAAATTACAACATTATCATCAGAGTTTTTTTTCTTCTAAAATTATAATGCAAGGATAATAATGGTATTTCACACATTAGTTGGTCTCTTTTGAGTTTTTTTCTTTAATTTATAGCTTTTAGTGTTTACAGTAAAATCAATGCAAGAAATGAGTTTTATTATAAATTTCTCATTAAAAAAATGGATGGATTCGGAACATCTGCATTTACCATTAGTGTACTTTATGCATTTTAAGATATCTTAAATTAAAATCTCATCTTTTGCATCGCATCACTTATCCATCCCTCCTCTGGGTTAGATTCCTCACTCTTCACTTTTCTCATATGGCTTTCTCCATTTTTTTTCCTATAATAATTATATCGTTTTCATAATTATCCAAACATGAAATTGGATTTCCTAAACTTGTATGCCATTTGTGCAAATAAAAATGACTTTTTCTCTTCGTTCTTTTTCCTATTTTTTCAGCTTGAACATTGAACCGCATAAAAACCAACTCACAGAGTCACATGTATAGAACTTAGAGGTTGCTTGACTCGTCTCAAGTTATTTATATGACAATCATTTAACTATAACAAAGTGTTCAAAGAAACCAAAAATAAATGACGAAATAAGACTTACCTAAAAGATGCTAATGTTGTTTGGAATTTGAAATGTAAGCGGAAATTGTATTTGCCCATTATCTTCGATTACTTACCTTAATGAGATAATTAGCCAATATTATATTTCTTTCCTTATCCAATTTACCCTTGCCCATTATCTTCGATTACTTACCTTAATGAGATAATTAGCCAATATTATATTTCTTTCCTTATCCAATTTACCCTTGCCCATTATCTTCGATTACTTACCTTAATGAGATAATTAGCCAATATTATATTTCTTTCCTTATCCAATTTACCCTTGCCCATTATCTTCGATTACTTACCTTAATGAGATAATTAGCCAATATTATATTTCTTTCCTTATCCAATTTACCCTTGCCCATTATCTTCGATTACTTACCTTAATGAGATAATTAGCCAATATTATATTTCTTTCCTCATCCAACAACTCTTAATGAGGTAATCTTATTATTATTATTTTATGTTGAATATATGCTCAACTTTTAATCAGGTTCAGTTATTTTGTTTTTTTTAGTTGTTCTTTTATGTATAGTATACCGGAGACATAGGTACGTAATACATTTTTTGATATATTTTTCTTCATATATATATATAAATTATAGGTAACATATTCCTTTAACAAAAGAAAAAGTTATTAATTGACTTGTGTTTTGACATACATGAGATATAGGTACCACACTTTTTTGCCTTTTTGTTTATGAATCTAAGTTATAGGTAACATACGATTTACCATTTATCTTTTTTATGTACCGGAGATATAGGTAGTTTTCTATTTTTTTATCTGACTTATAGGTAGTTTTCTAATTTATGTTCCTAACTTATAGGTAACATGATTTATCACTAAGTATTTTTCGTTACTAATAATAACACTATTTACTTGTATGTCAGGTATATAATTTAATGTGGGTGCTTGTATTGTATAATTTGTGGGTCTTTACTTTGTATTGATTAAATTGTATTTTGTCCATATATTAGGAATATTATGAAGGAAAGAATTCAAAATTTAAATTATGGAATTCAATTACAAGGAAATAATGTATTAAATTTAGATTTTCAATGTGTTTTCCTTATTTACCTCAAAGGGTAAAATTGACACAACAAAAAAGTAATAAATGTGAAAGGACCTGCATCTAAAACTAAAACCGTGAGGACTAAACCCAATGATAGCTAATCGTTGTGGACCTAGATCTAAGAAGCCCAAAGAATTTATATTGATGCCTCGTGGACGTAGGTATACCACTGAACCACGTGAATTCGTTAGTCTTTCTATTTTATTATTTTTTATTACTTGAAAGCTTATGTTGTGATAGAATTAAAAGCCCCTCAGTGAAGAAGAAGAAATTGATCTAAGAACCCAGAAATTGAAACTAATTTGAAAATTCAAGTGAAGAAAACTTAATCCGGAAGAAATGCCAAGAGAACACAAACTTCTTGTTTAGGTTTTCATTTTTATTTTTAAATACATGTGTCAACTTGTTAGCCTTTGGATGATTGTTGGAGGCAAAATCAAGTACACGTACATATATTTTATACAAATAATAATTTATTCTAAATGCAATAGGCAGACTTATTTAAAACCTAAATCTCAGGCTTATCACGTCACGCCAAACTTTTTCAACGTGCGAGATGACGCACACCAGACCACCAACGGGGATTCGACCCCCAAAAAAAAAAAAACAAAAAAAAGACCACCAACAGGGATTTAAAGTGAGGTCTATATAAATCATGAGATGTGGTGTGGTGGTAGCTCATCTCATTCCTTAACTATGAAGTTGGGGGTTCGATCCTCGCCTATGGGAATGGAGCGCATTTTGTGGCCAGCCGTTTACCTCCATTGGGAGAGCTCCCGCGGCGAAAGGGATTAGTTACTACTGTCGGCGGTGGATATCCTTGGGTCTCACCTAAAAATAAAAAAAAAAAATAAAAAAGAGGTCTATAGAGAAAATAAAATCAAAATTCAGGGCACTAACGTAATTGTGGTCATCCACGCGAATATTCTAACTCTTTCTGAGACTTCGTTTTCCAATTCCAACTAGATTTAGAAGAAAGAAAGAAACAGGTAGTGGAATAGAAGAAGAAGAAGAAGAGACGACCTTTCTCTATTAATTTGAAGCTTTTCAGGTTTGGTGGGCGACCTCAGTTCTTCTGACCTGCTTCTTCACGACCCTTATTTTGTTCTCTTCCTCTTACTATAAAATTCCAAGAATTCCCCAAATTCACTCTCCAAAATCCTACTTTTTTCTCCACAAAATTCTCCAATTCTCCCCAATTTTCTCATCAAATTCTCGCGGATCAGAACCGTATTTGCCTTAATTTATTATTGTCAGGAAAGAGAACGAGATTCAGATAGAGAAAAATGTTTAACGGAATGAATATGATGGATCCTGAGTTGATGAGACTCGCTCAGGAGCAGATGAGTCGCATGTCACCCGCCGAGTTGGCGAAGATCCAGCAGCAGGTCAATTTCGACTTTCTATTTTTCAATTTGTTCTTTTTCCCAATCGTAGGGTTTAATTTTCAATTTTATGTGACTGTGTTCATGGTTTTAGTTTTGGGTTGAATTATTAACGTATTTATTTAGTGATTTAGTTTGTAATGGTTGATTTTTATGTTTGAGTTGCATTGCAGATGATGGCTAATCCAGAATTGATGAGGATGGCCTCCGAGGGCATGAAGAACATGAGGCCTGAAGACTTGAAACAGGCTGCAGAGCAGTTGAAGCAGACCCGTCCGGAAGAGATGGCTGAGATTGGTGAGAGGATGGCTAGTGCATCGCCTGAAGAGATAGCAGCTATGCGTGCCCGTGTTGATGCCCAGGCCTCTTACGAATTGAATGCAGCCCAGATGCTGAAGAATCAGGTATGTAGTAGTCATCTTAAGATCAAACGTTAATCGACGAAGTTATTTTTTCCGTATGATTTCTTCGTGGATTGAACACCTTTGCTATGGTTAGAGAACTATGATTGAATAGTTAATCTCACATAGGATGAAATTGTGCCCAAGTACTGACCGCCCAAGATCCGACATTAGTGTAATTGAAGTTTGGTATTCCCAAAAAATGGGCTGTAATGCACTAGATAAAGTTTGTTGCATCATACCACTTTACCTTCTGATTGAGACCAAGCCGCACATGAGCGAACCTTCACGTCAAGGGAACGGGATTTGAATCCAACTAGACCGAAACCTTCCAAACATACTTTTTATTATAAAGCACTAAGTAACTTTTGTTAAAGGTCTTCAGCAGGCACGCAGAACACCAACCTAATCATGACAAGCCGGGAAGAGTCACAATCTGATACGCATCTCCTCTGTCTATGTTATTCTTTGTCTGCCAGTGGATCAAACTAGAACCTTTTCTTTTAAAAAGCTATCCATGAATAAGTACGTCTCCAGATTTTATTTTCTACTTGTGGCTACTTCTCCGTCTTGATATACTGAATTTTCAGTGTTCCTCATCAAATACTAGATTCTAATATGTTTTCCCACCGATTGTACCTTTGCCTGCGAAAAGACCTCATCTCTAGAAGTCCGGGTCGCAGGGCGTCCCTCGTGCAGTAGGATTCAAAACCTCTCCTCGCTCTTGTGGTGGCTACTTAGATATTATTGGGTCTATAATTCTTATCATTAGAGGATTTTGGACAGAATATATTAAGACTCATTCCAATTTGTTTTTATTTTTTAACCTGATCAAATGATTCTTGGCTTTCTTAGTGCAACCTGATTCTCCAAGTGTTAAGATTCATTTCTATTTCCTTTGGATTAGATTTCTTATTTTGATCATTTGAGGTAAATCATGATCACGATAGCAGAATGATACATCCTTCATGAGTCATGAGTGATAAACTTGTATCACATATCACATAAAAGAAAGTGGTAATTTTTTGCAATAAATTTTTCTTCCTGGAGTTAGATTTTTTGAAATAAAAGAATGTGATGCATTGACACCACAAGAATGTAATGTACTACAAAGCGCAAGACTGAAAATAAGAGAGAACAAAATAATTGAACTGATAGAGTGATAACACAACTTCTGTGAAATATAGAATTAAGATTGTCACTTGGGAATGTTGACCCAAGCTCAACCCAAACTTTACCCTGATAATGGACAAGTTGGGCTTAGGGATTTACAAGGTTTAGGGTTAAAGTTGAGAAATTTCCGACCTGAAATCGGGTTGGGCTAGGTCTAAGGTATCCTGGCCCCAAGCCAACCTGAAGCTGACATGTTCTGTAATAAATTTTTAATTATATACATGTCAACAATGCACTCATGTTATGACATGTGTATGTATTTTATACTATACCCTATGATTCCTAAAATATCAACCCTATCAGCTACTCAGTTTATTACACGTGAATTAGTCACCCCACGTGGCTGTGTAACGGTCACACCCAAGTTTTTTCTGATTCTCTCTGATCCAAATCCAAATCCATGCATTCAAGTGTGGTATGGGCCGGGTTAGGGCTAGGAAAGATAGGCTGATGATTGGACTGTGTTAGGATTGGGTTTGAAAGTCTAGATATCTGGCTCCTTTCCTGATTCCCTACCCTATAGAATTGTTTCATAATGCTTAAGAAAGGATTAAAGAAAAAGTATCGTTTAAAGTTGGACATTGTTTCTTCATACGTTTTAACAATGTTTTGGCATCTAATTTCTTTTTTGTATTATGTATCACTTTTGCAGGGAAATGCACTTCATAGCCAGGGCAAGTTCAATGACGCCTTGCAGAAATACTTGCTTGTAAGTGCAACTATTATAATATTCTTTTGTTTTTTGTTTTTATTTTTTGGTTCTTTTTCCTTAAAAGTGCAGAGTCGGCCCTCTAACTGGTTTTAAATATTTGTGTGAAATCCTAGGCAAAAAAAAACCTGAATGGTCTTCCATCATCTAAAGGCAGATCGCTTCTGATGGCATGCTCACTCAACTTAATGTCTTGTTACTTGAAAACAAAGCAGTATGATGAATGCATAAAGGAAGGTTCTGAGGTATATGTGGACGCATGCACACAGACACATCTTCATTGTTCGTCTTGCTTGCAAGCTCCTAAGTTGATCTAAAATCATGTACTTTTTCACTTCAGGTTTTGGCTTATGATGCAAACAATGTCAAAGCTCTTTACCGGAGAGGTCAAGCATATAAAGAAATGGGTCTATTAGAAGTGAGTATTATTAATAAACATACATATATGTTTTGTTCGCAGAGAATTCTGAAGCATCTTTTGTAGCCTATTTGGTTTCCTTAATTTTCGGATAGCTGTTTCCTTTACCTGATGGTCTTTGTTGCATAACTTAGGATGCTGTCTCTGATCTGAGCGAGGCACATAAAGTTTCCCCTGATGACGAAACTATTGCAGATGTTTTAAGGTACAGCCCTTTTTCTTTTTGTTCATATCTAGATCACAGTGAGGATCATTATGTTGCTGGTATTCACATATGTTGTATATATGAATGCTATATTTGTCATAATTAACACTCAATTATATGACTGTTTGAGCAGTGAGACATAGCCTTTTTGTTCCTAATTTTTTTTCAAATGCTAGGCTAGAAAAAAGAGACTGTTTTGAAATTGTAAATAACATTTATTGTTGTCACAGAGATACTGAGGAAAGATTGGGTGAAGAGGGAGTTCAGTCTACACGAAGAGGTACTCTTTTTTTCCACCTACTTCTCCTAAATTCTTAACTTAGATGCATGGGGCCCATATCGTATAAGTTTCAGATTTCAAATCTTTGTTAGGATATTGAATTTTGATTTTTTGATAGGATTAGTAATTGAAGAAATAACTGAAGAAGTTGAGACTGTGCCATCTGCTAACCATAAAAGCTCATCTACAAACCATTCTCCGGCACAACCAAAGGAAAGTAATGACATTTCAAAGACTCGGATTGCAACTAAGCCTGAGATTCTGCCAACCAATTCAGAGCATTTGGAGGCTTTAAAAAATAACCCAGAAGCTATCAGGTTTGTTTTGTTTGTGAACAAACTGCACCTTCTGATTATGATTGATGGTGTTTAAGATACATGATAATTTTAAAAAAACTGTTGAGTTTGGAGCATTTGATATATAAAACTAATCCACTTTCTTTTACCAGTTTGATTTAATCATCTTGTCATTCTTTTAAAGTTTCTTATTTGCGGAAGTTTAAGAAACTTAAATTGGAACTTTAGGAAGTCTTGTGAGTTAAAAAACTGTGCAACTTTAGTGCAAAAGTTGCTGTTATAAGGGATAGGTCATATTGAGCAATGCGGTGGAAGTGCGTAATGTGTGAATCTAGTGGCAGTGAAATGCGACACATTTTCATGTGCATTACATAAGCCACATTTTCATGTGCATTATTTTCATATGCCACAGATGTTTATAAACATTCTGAATTTTGAGTGTGGCCATGTGCGCATATGTGCTCATGCACATTTAGGAGAGATGAGGGTGGATTGAAGTTGGGATACATTTGGCCGAATATGGTATTTCAATTCAATCTGAATGACTAATATTAAGCAGTTATTCAGCAATATGAAAGCCATAAACAATGGAAATCGGATAAAAGCAGAACTCTCTGTTGCTTTGACTCTGAGAACTGATATAGAGTTCCAAACAGCTTGTCACTAGAAATTATAATATTGATAAGTTCAATTGTTTATTTTGAATAGAAGTTACCACGTTCTACTCATGCTGCTTTTAAAATATATATATATATATATATATATATATATATATATATATATATATATATATATATATATATATATATATATATATATATATATATATATATATATATATATATATATATATATATATATATATATATATATATATATATATATATATATATATATATATATATATATATACGAAGAGGTTCCTGCTGACATGGTTAAGACCGCCTCAAACATGATTAGCAAAATGTCACCTGAAGAACTACAGAAAATGCTTGAATTGGCTTCCTCATTTCAGGGGGATAATCCTTTTCTAAAGGGAGGTTCCAGTTCTAATATCAACAATTCAGTAACTCCGAATGTGTCTCCGGATATGCTTAAAACTGCATCTGATATGATGAGTAAAATGCCACCGGAGGAGCTTCAGAAAATGTTTGAAGTAGCATCTTCTTTTAAAGGGAAAGACTCTTCTACAACACCAGCATCTGTTGGGGCTAACAGAAGAAGTTCATCAAATTATTCAGAAAGCCGTGAAAACTCTGCAGTAAATGCAACTCATGATGTAGGTGAAACTAGCTCCCATGGAATGTTTCCGAATCTGGGAAGTGCTCCTCAATCAAGCTTCCCTGCCTCTGCTGTTGATATGCAAGAACAAATGAGAAACCAAATGAAGGATCCTGCAATGCAACATGTTTGTACACTAAGAATTTGAGACTTTTTCCTTTATTTACATATGAAATCATACTAATGTTGCTATCATAAGGGTTTGAACCTCAAGCTTTTGAAGGATAACGGGTTGATGTGTTTTTTGGTAGAACAATTAAATCTTGCATGATCGTGTATACCACTTTTTAAGTTTGGTTGTTTTCTCCCGCAGATGTTCTCATCCATGATTAAAAATATGAGCCCAGACATGATGGCAAACATGGGCGAGCAATTTGGTTTCAAGCTTTCTCGGGAAGATGCCGCAAAAGCTCAGCAAGCAATGTCTTCTTTGTCGCCACAGGACTTGGACAGAATGGTAACTTCCTACGCTATTTAATGGCTTTGATTGTCAGTGCATTGTTCCATGCTTTGTTAATACTTATCATACAAGTCTGGATATCTAACCAATTTTAAAATATGTAAATTTTTGTTACGTGATGTTACTAAATTAGAAAAGGTTTCTTTTGTGTTTTCATCATAATGTGAAGGATTTGTTATGTTTTAATAATGTAGATATTCAATTATTAAGATACATGAAGTTTTATTGACATAGTTTGTGAATCAGATTATCAATGTTTCCCCTCTCTTTTTATTTTTGTTTTAAAAAACAGACATCTTAGTTTAGGATTCAGTTGAGTCAATATTATTGTGCTATCGAGTGCTTTGTCATGGAAACATATGATTCCATAGTTTTAGACGCTATTTTCATGCAGCCAAGTGAAGCTTTAGTTTGTTGTTCACTTTCCTATGCCATGAGCCTGAAAAACTAGGACCAGTTGTTCAGACCTGTAAACTATCAAAATTAAAGAGTGTTCTTAGCTATTGGGCCATTATGTAGAGGATTTATTCTCATTTTTCTGATATTAGTGCTTATTTTCTTTCTGAGTTGCAAAGATGAATTTTATTTAATTTTTCTTTTTCTGTAACTTGTTGCAGATGAAATGGGCAGATAGGATTCAAAGAGGATTGGAAGGTGCAAGGAAGACAAAGAATTGGCTGCTAGGGAGAGCTGGTTTGGCTTTGGCTATATGCATGCTCATTTTAGCTGTACTGCTTCATCGTTTGGGCTACATTGGTGGTTAGAGTGTAATTTTGTTCCTGAATTATGAAAGAAGCATTCGGAGTCCAACCTCTAGCTAAGTGACACTTCCAAAAGCCAATGTCTCCCTGAATGCTCAGGAGAGGTGCTGTGCAACGGTTATTTATCGTCGAGGAAAGGAAGAAAATGGGAGGGGAGGGAGGAGGGGTTCTTCTTCAATGGGTAAAGATAGTCCCATGATCTCTTTTTGCATGTACGTCGTCACTAGTCGTAGCATTATTTGATTTGTTGAGACCTTTGAGGCTTGCATTTGCTTTTGCATAATTGGAATCTCGCAAAAGGGATCCATTATGGAATTGATTTGCACTACTTTCTGTAAAATTATGGTAATAATAAGTAATCTAATCCCAGAGCGTATGAAGTGTTTGATGTGTTCTGATTATTCTCTGTATTCGGTCTTTCAAAATGGAGAAGGCGAAAAATATAACATTGTGAGAAATCAAGGGTTCGCCATCTCCATCAATACCCAATAAAATTATGCTAAAAACTCTCCTTTACCAAAAGAAATTAGGATCCCTCTTTGGTGCATCTCATGATTATTTTGAACCAACAAAATAAGAGCATTCGCCCATGCACTTGATGTCATGGGTTGTATTTACACCACCGAGGTAGCTTGAATTGACAAATTTCTCCTACAAGCCTTTGCAACACCAAGGTAGATTCTCTCTAATTTTTAATTAAAATTTATTTAAAAACTTACAAAAACTATTTTAGGAGCTCTATAAAATTTTAACTCCGAACACACTCTACAACTCTTTTTTAATTGGCCAATCTCTATAAAAAAAAATTAATAAAAATATATATATAAAGTAGTTAGCATTAATTAAAGGTTTAAAATACTCATAAAATAAGCAGTATTAAATTATAGAGAGCCACTATGATTCATTTATCTCTCCTCAGATTTAGAAGCTCCTAGAGATTTGCCTATTTTAGGAGGTGGATAGAAAACATGGTTAAAGTTGTATTTTTCCAATTCCTCCCTGAAATTTGTCTAAGAAGGTAGTTTAGGGAGCCCATTGTGAATGCTCTAATAGGGAATTACTATTCTCATACATTTAAGAATTCCCTTGCCACACAAGCACAAAAGTAGGTCCCTTATTTGTCACGTCATCAATTTAACATTTTTTTTTCTCTTTTTTTCCCTTGTAAAATACCTAAAAGTTTTATAGTTCAAATTATGAGACCCTCAAGTTAAGTATTGAACTTTGACCCCAAAAAAAAAAAGAGTTAAAAGTCTTGAATGACTCACCTTTGCAAATGACTCAATATAGTTGTTGGAGTAATTGTTCCTCTAAGAAAGGTCCTTAGTTCGAATCCTAGCATTCGTGTAATGTGCGAGTTTAGTATGTTATCGCCCATCTCAATAAAAAAATCCTTTAAAAAAGGAAAGGCCTCATTTTTCTTACTCTTAGTCTTCCAATAACTAGAAGGTCTACAAGATTTTAATTATTGTGTATGTGTAATTGGCTGGACTCGTATACACAAATGCGATCCACTAAGGCTAGTTTGGCATTGCTATGCTTTTAAAAAAAACTGCTTCTGCTGTGCTGCAAAAATAATCAGCTGTGAAAAAAATCAGTTAGGCGTTTGGTAAACTATATTTGAAAAAGTGATGTGAGCAATCAAAGTGTTTGGTAAATTTTTATTAGAATTGCTTTTAGTGTGTATAATGGCAAAAAAGGACATGAATCATGATGAAATTATTTGTTGTTTTCTTATTTCTTTTTCTACTTAAAAAAAAAAAAACCATTTACGCTACATTTTTTTTCTTTTTTTAATTTACACTTTTTGAGTCAGAATTTTTTCGTCTTTTGCATCTCTATTTTTTTATTGGGAACCCCTTTTTTGGTTTCCAGATCTCTGCATCTCTTTCTGCTACTCCATTTTCATCTTCTTCTTCTCCTTTCTCCTGTCATCTGCTTCTTCTTCTCCTTTCTCTCTGCACATTTTTTTTTCAAAAATTTTCTCTTCTACTCCTTCTTGTTCTATTTTTCTCCCTCTGCCCAGAGAAGTCGTCCTCCTTGCATGGTCGTCATCGTCGTCTATAATCCAAGCTGTGGAGTCTTCGTCGTCTGTCATCGCTGTCATCGTCGTTTGCCATCAGTGCTTGTCTGTCATCGTTGTCGTCTACAGCCCATGGTCGGAGGTTGTGGTTGTGGTTGGAGATTGGGTGAGGTTTGTTGCAGACGACGAATAGAAAAAGGGAGGTTGTGGTTGTGGCTGGAGCTTGGGTGGGATTTGTTGCAGACGACGAATAGCAAAAAGGAATGAAGAAGAAAATGAGAGTCTGCAAAATGGGGAAGAAGAGGAGTTTGCGTTGCTTGATTGTATTGGAGGGACAAGGACTGTCTATTTGAAAAATAAGTGAGGGCATTATGGGAAAGTAAAACATTCATTAAAACCACCGGTTAAATTTTTTTTAAAGCAGCTTTTAAAAGCTGGGTTATGCCTGCTTTGGAAAAACAGCGGTCATTGACCGCGATTTTAAAAAAAAGCTGATTTCTGATGTTTACCAAACACCATGGTTGTGCCAAATTTTTATTAAAGCTGCTTTTTAAAAAATTTCAGCTGGGCCAAACGCCACCTAAGTAGCTAGAGCCAGAAAAATTCCTCCCGGAAAATTGACCACCACTATATTTTACATTTCATTTCACAATCACATCAACCTGAAAGCTACAGCTCAACCACTTCCAAAGGTTTTATGAAAAAAAAAAAAGAAGAGAAAAGAAAAGAGAAAAGGTCCAAATGTGATGCAAATCTGTAACAGTTTGAAGACAGAATTCTGACGCCGGCGAAATATTACGTTCACATTATTAACAAATGGATAAGATTTCCTGCTGCTGCTGCTGCTGCTGCACGTCCATTGCAGGCCACCTCTCCTGTTCTCTTCTGTTCTCACACCTTTACACGTTTTGGTTTTGATTTTTTCCTTCAATTTTTATTTCATCCAAAGCTCTGCACGTTTAGTTGGCCTCACGTTTTTATTTTATTTATTTATAATTATTTGAGCTGCCAAGCCCAGTGATGTTGACGCCCGTCAAACTCTTTCATTTCGATTGACAGCTCAACCAATCGTCGAGACATCCATTCATTATTGTTGCTCTTTCTTCTCATCTTTTTTTTCAGGCCTTTAGTTTTTCAACAATAATTATTTTCCCAAGCTGTCTTTCTTACGATTTAACTAGATTCGTAATTTGAGTGTGGAAAGGGTGAAAAAGGTTTATGGGTCTTCGTTTGACAAGAAAATCCCCAAACGATTAGTCATGTGCTTGTCTTGTGACGATGTTTGATAGAAAGGTAGATAAATCCAACGGCAGGGACACGTTGATGCACAATAACATAGTTGAGATACCAAATTGATAACGCTTTATATTTTTTAAACACTGTCTGTTTGGCATTACTTATTTAGGGTGATAAGTGATTTTTAAAAAAATTTGGGAAGCCTAGCCCGTTTAGTAAACTATGAGAAAATCACTTTATTGTTAAATCTGTGAGAGAAAGCTATAAGGGAAATGAGCTAATGAGGTGCTTTCATTTTCTGATTATGTAAGAATCAGTTTCGAAGAGGCATTAGGTTTAATGATTATGCAAGAATCATTTTCTAATTATGCGGGAATTAATACCAACAACACTTTTAACAAAAAGTTTACCAAATGTCAAACTGTTTTCTCTCACAGCAAATTGAACATCGATTATTTTCACAGCACAGCAATGCCAAACTGGCCCTATGAAAAGTATGACAATTATAAGGATTATCAATATTATTTCTTTAAAATAAAAAAAAGTTATGCTGATCATTCGATAAAGGATTAGACTTAACAAATGTTATTAGACAAATGACCAAACCTTTTTTTTTCAACAGAAAATACTTCTAATCTATTTTAAGGAGACTTTCATGGTCACCCTTCTATATACTGAATCAATTGTACCCTTGTTATTTAAAAATAATAATAATAATTCGAAAAAAAGCAACAATCACAATATAAGAGGCAAATTGTCCCTTTGGGATATATGATAAAATTCAAACGATATAAAGAAGATTAGCATGACTTGTCGTAAGAATGACACACATAAATCGAGAAATTGTGCATAAAAAAGGGCAACAGTAGACTAACAAACTTGACTACAAATGCCCAAACCGAAATACATATTTGCTGTAACTAGTGTTGTGTTTTAACAGATTATACTAGAGTGGTTAAATTTGTTGATCAAATAGTTTGACATGCTTAAACCGATCAAACAACTAGGCCATGAACATCAACCATATATACTGAAATCACTTTGGGGTGGAGAAATTTCTAGAAAAACCCAAACCATAATTCTATTTTTCAGTTCATTTCCTGCCAGAAATAAAAATTCCTCCTCAAAAATATCTCTCATATTTCACTTTCATTCCCTCTCAACGTGTCCACGTGGAGCGATTCTGGTGGCTGCCACGTATTTCCCACGCCCCGTTTCAGTTTTCTTCTTCGTCTTCCCAAACAAAACTATATATAATCTCTCACACCGTCGTCCGATTTTTCTGCCGAAAGATTCGCTCCCTCTTATCCCGTACGTTTCGCCCTCTCTCTCTCTCTCTCTCTCTCCATATCCCATTTGTAGCCCTCCCTCCCTATCATTTTGGGTTTGGGTTCTCTAGCTTTCTGGGAAAAATATCTTCCCCACGAAACAAAATGAATCCAAAACAATCCCAATCTCCCCCGCCCCATAATCCAGTCTTCGTCCCCAATTTTCTCAATTGAAGTTTGAACCCTAATTTCACCCACTCCTCGACTAGTATTTTTTAACCCCCGATGACTCGGAACTCCTCGTTTGAATCGCCGCCGTCGACTCGGCCGTCGCCTCGCGAGAAGCACCGAGTGGGCGAAGTCGCCGGCGGCGCGGCAGCCGAGTGTGCGGCGGTGTGCTGCTGCTGTCCCTGCAGCGTGATGAATCTGCTGATACTGACGGTGTACAAGGTCCCAAGGGGGCTGTGCAGGAAGGCCTGGGCCCATAGCAAGAAGAAGCGGCGGCGCGTGGCTCAGAAGAAGGGGCTGCTGCAGCCCAGGCCGAACGGGCTTGCCGGCGGCGTCCTCTACAAAGATGACGTGGACGTTAAGAGAGACGCCGACGACGACGGCGATGTGAAGAAGAGCGACGCGGAATCGGAGGGCGCGGATTTGCTGGAGAAGGAGATGTGGGCCCGCTTTTACGAAGCCGGCTTTTGGAGAAGTACTTCTCAGAGAGAATTATGATGACTGTCGTTCTTTGGGCTCTCATGTCGTTTCTTCGATTCGTCGTCGTTTTTGGGTGTACATAGAGGAATTGGAGATGTCGTTTTCGTGAGGCGGGATATTATGCTTCGGGAGAGATACGATTGGGTGATTGATTGTGGCCTAATTGGGTCTTGTCACTGTTTTGTAAATGATTGGATCTTTAAAGTCGGCAGCATCAGGACCAAAGCCAAAAAAGAATATAGAATTGGGTGTGATTCGTGAATGGTAGTTTTCCTTGGTCTTCACATATTTTAACCAAAAATATTACATAATATAATGTTAAACCTGGTTAATAATTTATCCATGTTGTTTATAAGCAATCCATAGAAAACGCTTGCTATGAAAATATGTTAGTGAATCAAGATACTTCTTTGTTTTCGTTTGTTTTGAATCTTCATGTTCACTCGATTTTTAACTTTTGTTTAGTATTATCTAAGCGGCTTTTAGTTCAAGTGGTTAAGAGCAGTTATCTTTGTTGTTTTAAATCCGTTTTGAATTTCCCTCCGTATTATGAGGCAAGATGAGTTAGGGATTGGCTATGTTTGAGCACTCTTTGCTAGAGACGTCGTTAGAAAATTCTCTTATTTAAGAGAGTACAATGGTAAAATAAAACAGCTAAACATATTCCTTTTTTAAAGAATAAAATTAAGTAGTTTTCAATTGCACAATCAATGTGCTCATGTTGCTTCTGAAGCTCAGAGTTCATGCAAGCAAGGATGTAACATTTAGCTTGTGTGTCGTCTTGTATGTGCTTAACATATTGAGCACGTTCCTCCTCAGTGACATTATCCCCAGGAGGTTGACGAGGGAACGGCTTATCAAGCACGTATGCAATTTTCTCACTGATCAAAACGATCTTGAGATTTCGGAACCATTCCGGGAAATTGTGCCCCTCAAGGCAATGTTTGTCAAGAATTTTGGCGAGCGCGGTTCCAGACATATCTACATAACATACAAAAATTTAAATTAGATTGCTTTTAGAAAGCCAATTATTCGGGTCTTTTAAATCAAATGGCACCTCCCACTATTTTTGGTAAATTCCATATCCCTCAAATGGAATCCGAGAGTTTAGTTTCAACTCTTAGTGGGGATGGGAGGCTCACCACCATCAAGCTTGCCAAATCATAATAGAATACTGGTTTGCTTGAATGGTGAAGAGAGAGTACTCTTACCCATTCACATCATGATGTGATTACCCATCACTTTGGCCTCTAGCAAATGTGCACCCTCGAATGTTATCGTGAGGTACCATTGTACTAGTTAAGTCATGCCCACCATTTCTGTGAGTGTAGGGGTTCAAGCAACACCTCATCATAATAGAATATTGGCATTACTCGTTGCCTATATTCACAACATCAAATGTTTTGAAATGAGCCCTTTCAAAATAAACACATACTGTGTGTTCCCCACATTAGGGTGAAGCACAGTGTATTGGTTATAATTGATGAGGGTCCACAATGGTGGAAGGCCACAAAAAGATATTCAAAATACCTCTCCGTTTATCAACTTAATATTATTATTGGTTGAGGGAGTTTTAGGTCTTATCATACAACATTCATTTCAATCTCATTAAAATAAAATTTGGTCCTATCATAACTATTGGTCCAATTTGTTAGTAGCATATGGTACTCACACTATTTGTTTTAGAAATCAAGGAATATCTATCACTACTAATAAAAATTTTGCATTCTTGAATTTTGGACATATAGTTATCTTAGGCCCTTAGGATGATTATGGACTTTTAATATTTGATCCAACATGAGCCAAATGTTGGATCTTGATCTAGGGGGTGATTCATTTTAGTTATGCGTTTAACTAATTAAATATGCAATCCTAATCGGGTTTGAGGCCCATCTAACTTGAGCCTTGGACTTCATCTCCTTCTTTCTTCTTCTCCTTTAGCTTACATCATATGAAAAGTAAAGACATGCAAGCCTTTTAACAATTACATAAGAAAAGAAAAAAGGTGAGACATGCAAGCCTCTTTAACAATTACATAAGAAAAGAAAAAAGAGAGACATGCAAGCCTCTTTAACAAAAGAATTAAACCTTATTAATTACAAGCCCAATAAACGAATAAATCACATCCCATGGTTCAATCAAATTGATAGTCGGCCAATCACATAGTTCGATTCAATTTGGGTCTTAGTCCATAATCATCCTTTCAACTACTTCAATCAATTTAAAATAATTGAACTTTAGAATGCAACTTAAACATTTTGGCTTTTTAGTATATGGGCCTAGTTCAAAACGTGGGGTTAAGTATGCAATTAATTAAAGACTCAAGGACCAAACCGCAAAGTAAAGTAATTGCATAGAAGTCCAAAACAAATAATATAATTGCATGAGGAATCCAAGAGGATTCCAAGGTGGGGCTGGCCATGTGAAGTGCGTGTGTGTGTATGTGACATGCATGAGAGTGTTGGTTTGTCCCATAAAAGGATCAAACATGCCTTATCAAGTTTCAAGGAAACATTTCTAAAACCAAGAGTGTGGTCTCCCATGCAAACAAGTTCCTAGGCAAGGGAATAATCCTAAGACCAAGAGAGTGGTTTCCCATGCAAACAAGTTCCTAGGCAAGGGAATAATCCTTCAACCAAGGAAACAATCCCAAAGACCAATGGCACACTAGATATGCCTATGTCTTGATGTTCTAATTTTCTAAAAACTAGAGGAGCAAGCTTTGACTAAGGGAACAAGGGGACATGGAATCTTGGATAACCAAGGTCAATGTCCTCATTCAAATCAAGAGCAACACAATTTCGAAATTGAATCCCACCAAAATGGATCAAAAACTAGAACACATGCATTCATCTTATGAACTCACAAGAACATTCATATGAACTCAAGAACACACATAACACAAAAATCATATTTTTAAGTGTCAAATTTCGTGGAGATGAAAGGGGCTATCAACATAGAAATTTTACAATGCTCAAGCTAGCATTGAAACATCACAAAAACCCCCAAAATCCAATATGGCCGAAACCCCCTTTTTAACCATGTGTTCAAACTTTAATGCCTTCTCTTAAAACATCTATAACACTTAAAGATGCAAGACTTTTCAAAAAAAAAAGAAACAATCAAGGCTTCACAACACATAACATTTATGCCACAAAGAACTTTGACCCATATTCATAAACAAAAACCCAAAATGGTACAACTCATCACTTGACCTTGGCTCTAGATACCACTTGAAGGAAACCTTTAAAAAATCATGAATTTCATTTGAACATCAACATAGATAAATAAAATCATGGCAACGGAAGCTTAAGCATGCATCTATGAGTTCAAAAACAAAAACTTTTTCCATGAATCTTTTAAGCCAAGTGATAGTTGTACTACTTTCCTAGAACATATATTTCTAGTAAGATTGGAAGGAGGAGTTACCCTTGGTGCGTGCTTTCAACCCTATGATAGAATTCCACCAAAGTTGTTGAAGCTTGAATGGCTCCTTCAAAATCTCCACCTTGTTGTTGAAGCTTGAATGACTCCTTCAAAACTTCAACTTAGGAGGTTCTCCAAAAGTCACCAAAATAGGTAACCTCTAAGTCTCTTTGGTGGAGATTTTGAAGGAGCCATTCAAGCTTCAACATAGGAGGTTCTCCAAAAGTCACTAAAATAGGTAACCTCTAAGTCTCTTCACCAACTAGAGCTTGAGAAGAAGATGATGAGCTTAGTGAGAGGATGATGCTAGTGATCCCTCACTAAGATGGTATGAAAGTGTAGAGAGAGTTTTTGGAAGACTAGAGCTTTCTTTCTCTCTCTTCTTTTTCACTAATGACCCCCTTAGGCTTCAAAAAGATGATAGTCATCTTTTACTTGAGTCAACAAGTTGACTCTAGCAACCAAAAGCCCATATGAACGTCCATCCCTTGAAATCGGGCCTCTTGGGCTCAATTTCATTTAAGTTGTCATACAACCCAATCTCTGTGTCCAAAAGGATAAAGCCCAATGAGCCCGGAATTTAAAATTCCCGTTTAAAGCCTATTCCGACATCACGTGTCGTTTAAATTAATTCCATAATTAATTTTGCCTTAACCAATTAACAAAGCTTAATTAATCTCTTCAATTCATCATCTCCATAATGGTTTCTCAAATAACTCAAGTTTAACGGTGTGCGATCCATTAGGTTCTAATTAGCAAGGTCGTGGGAAATTTGAACTCTTTGTAATTGATTGTGAATTAAAACCCCTTTTTAATTCTCCCTATTAGTTAGGATCATTAGTCCTTAGGGCTTCCGCCATCCATGAGTGACACCTAGCATTATGTCATGGATATTCAAGCTAAGTAGAATAAACAGAGAACATATTCAGTTGGAATTACAATGCAATATGGTCCTTCCCTATTACAATGCTTTTAATCTCATTACTAGGGCATGGTGCATGTCAAACCCCTAATGAGATTGTCACATCTTATATGATTTGTATTAGTATGACAAGAACATCCTTCTAGGTCATATCGAATACTCTGATCAGAGATTTGCTTAATCATATCTTCTGAGCATTCTCCTTCTTTACTGAAGGATAGAGATTCCATGTTGTACACTCACATGTCTCCATGAGTCAATCGTGAACCCCAACAATGCTTGTACCACATCCGTGATTAGGACATGTCTTTATAGCATCATCAAAGATCCACAACCTTCCCACAAGACAACCATGGTGCCTCAGGTCCAAGGTCTAATTTGCATTATTCCAACTTGGAGTTTCTTGTTTGACATATAAGTAAAATTTCCATACAAGAAATTTTCGTTTGATCGCGTTCAGTGAACTCATTCTCTATTGAGCACCTACATACTTGTCTCAGTGTCTCCACACGAATAACTTGAGACCAATCATCCTCCCAATTAAGAAGACATAGCATGTACCGGTCTTTCCGGATTGTCAGTGCCCATTTGACAATCCTATGACTAGGAACATTTAGGGCATGAAGATAATAGAGGAAAGGTATCCTGAATCTAACTTCCTTAGATTACTTTCTCTCTATCTCATATCCCTTGGACTTATTGTTTAAGCATGGGTAACTGTTAATGAGACATTTACTAATAAACAATAAACTTGCCCTTTAAGAGGATTAAACATAAGTGTAATACATGAAATATCCTTAAAAGATTACATCATATGATTGGCTTTTAGGGCATATTTCCAACAAAAACCAGCCAAACTTTAAGTTGTAAATCAAGTTTCAAAACTCAAAAATCGATCCTAATCAACCCAACCATCAGTTAGAACATGTTGAGAGGACAAGAAAGCATATCTAGATCGACGAAAATGGTGGCCGGAATCACTGGAATGAACGCCGAAAAATTTAGATAAAAATTGGCATGTTTTTGAGATTTTCCGGCGACAGCAGCGATTGGCTTCGGCGAGAATGGGGTGGGACAAGAAGGGGATGCCGGGCCAGTTCATTTGGGACCGGTCCAGTCGTCAGCGGTGGCCTAAGGTGGTGGTGGTGGCCCAAAACGTGAGCGGCTGGGGGTGTTCTTTCGCAAGGAAGAGGGAGGTTGGAGAGAGAGAGAGAGAGAGAGAGAGAGAGAGAGAGAGAGATGTGATTTTTTTTTTTAATAACCAACTTTGAAATATTTACGATTGTGCCACTGCACTTCCGTTGATCGTAATTTTTTCGTTACAACTCCGATTTGAGCCCACTACATGTCTACGAACTCATATTGATGCTATCTACGTCATGGTGCGGTTCCTTTCCCCAAAATTCTACTAGATTAAAAAGTGACCAAAATGGCCCTATCCCCGAGGGCAACATTGTAATTTCATAATTAAATCAATTTAAATTATTAAAATGGGTAATTAAAATCGGGATGGGGTGTCACAAATTAAAGATGTAAACCATGCTTAAAATTAGGCACTTTACCATGCTTAAAAAATAATAGTGAAGATTGAAAATTAACTAAGAACATAAATAAAGTTATCCAAGGACGAATTAAATAGGAAATAAAGAAAATGATTATAGAGATTTAAGTAATTAAGCAACAATTTAAAGGGCAATTTAGTAATGTAAGTACTTATATTGAATAATAAAATAATCAATAACATTAAATGGATTAATTAGGAAAGAAATAAATTATATTAAGTAATTAAATATTTAATCAACAATATAGAACAATAAGTAATTATTTTATATTTTGAGGAACAGCTCGGAAGACTTATAAATATGAATTCCATAGGTACTAATCCCAAAGTGACCACTAGCGTGGTGGTTAGATGGCTCTAGAGCTTAGAAGGGGGAGGGGTTCAAACACCTGTGTGCGTGAGTTCAAGTGAATTCTTTCATTTCGTAAAATATTCATTACTCTTGGTGTGCATAACAAGAATTTCGTAAATTTTTTTGAAAAAAAACGAATATAAGTGCAAATTTTAGCACGAATAAAGGAACAAGTAAAAAGCAGACATGGGTTAATCAAGTTGGTTAGAACACATGTGCTCCCACTCCACAATCGAGTTTGAATCCCCTATCCGAAATTTAGATTAATTTAAAATAGAATATAGTTTGTATTAAAAAAAGAAAAAAAAGGAAGGAGTAAAACTGCTCTCCAAATTTTGTGAGCCGTTTTAGTGAAAGCACAGGAGCAAAGTCTGTGCACGTGTCAACAAGAAGCAGCTAAAGGAAGCGGCTCCGTCATCTGCTTCCTTTCCTTTCCTGTATTTTCTAGCGCCAAAATTCAAACACTATTCGTGCTCGCAAAATGTACTCACAGTCACAGGAGCTCCTCCGAGACTACCATGAACTGAGGAAGAAGAAGAAGCTTCGAATTCCGTAGTGTATCCGACAACGTGCTCAGAGGGCCACAGATCCACGCTCTTCCTCCGAACCAAGCAAGGCGGCTCCATCTGCTTGCTCTGCTTCTCCAACCTCATCTCCAACCCCCAATCGCCCACCGTCCACGTGTCCTGCGCCCCCTCTCAGCTCTCTCAGTCCATCTCCTCCAACCCCCCCTTCCTCCGCTCTCTCCTCGCCTTCCACCCTCACTTCCTCGTCTCGCCTCTCGTTCATGCTCTCTCTTCCTTCGACGACGACCCCATCGCACGACATGTCGTCCATCTCATGTCCGCTCTCTGCGATTCAGCCGGTGCCTCGCTCTGCCGACTTCGTCGCTAGGGTTTCCGACCGCCTCTCTTCTGGCGCCTTGGCCTGGAGTCGCCGTCAGCTTTATACGGTATTTCCACCATCCGCATCTCTCCATTCTCTCTTTGTTTGTCTGTGAATTCTGGAATTGCTGTTGAGACTTAGATAAACTTTTCCGGTTGTGATTTGTTTTCTGTTTGTTTCCTGAGAAAATGATTTGTGTTTCTCGGTAGCCAAACAGTGTATGACTTGTTACGGCTGGACGAATTTGGTGAAATTGAGCTTGATTCTTCTACTATTTCTCATATTAAAATTCTGTTTGTTTGCGAATTTACATATCAATTTTAAGATTTGGATACATACTTTGGGTAATGTTATTCTGATTTTTTTTTTTCTTTTTCCCGAAGGTAATGTTATTCTGATAGTTTGGTTAGTTTTGGTTTCTCATGGTACACCAATACTATAGTTGAAGGATTGTTAAATAAAACCTGAAATTGCCTTATTTACATTATAATGCAAAATAGGATGAGTTACTGTTGGTTGAGATCCTTGAATAGTTTGTCATGTTTCTTTGAAATTAGATTTCTCTACTCTACAAGTCAAAATGAAATTTGAGTGGGCAAGCTAGGCCTTGAGAGTGAGAAATCTGAGTCAACAGTCACTACATGGGGGTGATCAGATTTCTTACTCTTTTATTTATTTATTATTATTATTATTTTTTTATGAACATCAGATTTCTTACTTTAAGCCATGACTTACATATCCAAGTTTAATGGCTATGGTTTACAGTCTACAATGAAAAGCCTCTGTGCACCTACTGGCTTCTACTAACGAAACTTTTTTCAACAATATCTTTTACATCTTATTGATCTCAAGAGATATATATCCCTGCTAACAATTCTGCCATTCTTTAAATTTAGCTTCACTGCTTGGGGGTTTTGTTAAACTGCCAGCAAAATAATCCTTACATTCACATTAGAGACAAGTATGGCCTCATTACCAATCTTGTTGAAGGTCTTGAATTGCCTAGGTAACAAATAAAGAAAAATGAGAATAAACCATGTTCCTTCCATGCATTTAGTACATTATAACTCAAATTCTCTATTTTATATATTCCTTTAACACAGTAAAGATATTCAGGGAGAAATCCTGTTTGTTCTATACAAGGTATCTATTCTCCAATACGCATTAGAGGTTGGTGATGGAACTGATTTTTTATTTGCCTTTTGCCTCAAGCTATTGCACTTGTCTCTAGAGGCCCTCATGAAGACCCAAAGCGATGATGTCCGCTTGAATTGTGTAGGTCAGTTTTCCACTTCTTTAACACTTACTTTTTTGTGCCTTATAAGTGTGGTGCATTTTCCCTTACTTAAAGCACAGCTCAGCAAGATATGACTAGCATTTTGGTCAGCTTGTCATACGCCGTGTGTCTCTATTTATTTAATTTTTCAGAGTAGGTTTTCTTTTTGGGCACATAGGCATATATAGATATCAAGCCTGCAAATGAACTCCCTAATTTCACCACAATTGTTTCTTGTTGATGTCAGACCATATTTTAACTGTCAAGGTGAAGGTCCTTGCAATTTCTTTCATATCATGACAAGATACTTTGCATCTTGAGTTTATTTAGAATCAAACCGTAAAAACGTTGCATCTCCAAGTGCTTGAGTCCTTGACTAGAGAACTTACCGCCTGTAGTGGAAAAAAATTATAATTTTAAACCTTTCAGGTAATATAGAACTCTTTGGGGAAGTGATCCTGACATAGCATGGAATGCTCCCCATTTTACATGCACATTTCCTCATTGGTATCAGTCCTGTCTTCTTTCAACTAACAATTTCCATATTACTTGTCCAGCGTTCTTGACAGTGTTGGCTCAGACTCAGAGAGGAGTTTTCGGGGCTGCATATGCAGTTGATTTAAACAGCATGAGTTCATCCAAAGGAGATAGCTTTGAGCAAGCAACATAAGATGGAAAAAATGTGAATCCAATGAAAATATTGTTTACGGAGGCCATCAAAGGCCCACTGCTTTCAACACCCAGCCAAGTCCAGATCAGCACACTGGATTTACTGTTTAATTACATGTCCTCCTGGGAAGGCACTTCAGGGAAAGAAACGCAAGTCCTAATGGAAGAAAACATTGCAGACATGTATTTGAATTACTGAGATTGTCAGGTTAGTAAAGTTTCAGTGCCAAATAGAACAATAATAGATGTCCTCTGCTTGATATTTTTGTGCTGATAGAGTTTCATTTGAGTATTGCCAAACATCACGAAACCAGAAACTGTGCTGTTTAAGTTACGAGTCAACAATTATCATTATTCAGAAGTGTTTATTGAATTTCTACAAATTTTTCAGTGTTCCTAGTGTAGATAGCTTAACCTTTTAAGTTTTCATTTTTATGGTCATTAGATGTGTTCTTGCAAAGCTTATTTATGAGTATGACTGTATTATTAAGAAAAACCCTCGGAAATTCAAGGATCCAGTGGTCAAATCTTGTGTTCAGGTACTTGACATATTGTCAAAAGCTGAGCAAGCTTTCAAACGGAGGCTTGTTGTTGGGTTTGCAACTTTGGTTCCAGTACTAATTATGTAGCTGACATTCATTTCCATCCAGTTCAAAATCAGACATTAAAACTCATTCTGAACTGCATATCTGATTTCCCTGGAATGGTATAAGCCTCTCTTATAACAGCACTAGTACCTGTTCTAGTAAAGATGCTTAAAAAGCGTTTATAATATGTATATTCATATGGACCTCTCAGTCCTTGTCGCTATCATCAGAACTCCATCTGTTCATAGGAATTTGAATCTACAAATTTCAATTAAAGAAGCAATGCAACATGCTGTATTAGCTTGTCTAAGTATCTCGGAGAAGAATCCTTGTCAAATTTTGCACTCCTTGTTCCTACTTAAGGATGCTTCCTTTTTCAGTACTTCAAACATGAAAATGAGTCATTATACTTCAGTCCAGTTTGTTTTAGAATGAAAACTGGCTGATGGATTTTTCGCCTTGGTCATTTCAGGCAGCATATTAAAAAGAGAGAGAATGCAGTTATTTTACACATTGCAGGCCTGCAGAAAACAGAAGTACACTAACAACAGTCAAGATGAAAGTGCAAAAGAGCATATAAAAAGGCGGTCGCCATCCTGGACGACATGGGAGAAGTTTGCGAGTATCTCATTCACCTGATGTTATCCGACTCTTGTCTAGACTTCTGGGGGATTAAATTTTGGGGATAAGAGATTGTTAGAAGAAATAGAGCTTTTCTTAAAAAATTTAACAGTAACAGAGGGCAGCTAAGAAAATCATATGAGTTTAATTTTCTTTATTGAATCTCCATTTCTCATTTCATTAACTGCTGTGCACAGAGTGAGACACCAGTAGTTATGTACAGGTGCTTCCCATTTTGATCATTAACTGCACTGAGAGCTTAGAACTGAAGAGACATTACAGAATCAAAATACCCTTTTGTTAAATGTAAATGCACTTAATATTTTGAGTTGATTTAATTTCTCTGGAAGAAAGTTGGATTTTTGTTGTACTCTTGTCTAACCCAAATTGACTTTAACTGTTTTTTTTCAAGTTACTTTCATTGTCAAAAACTTAGGCGCAGAACATGATATATAATGATGATATAGCTGATCCAACACTTCATTAATTACCAGGCTTATAAGGAATGAATGAATGAATGATACTTTTCATAAAAATTCCTGAAATATTCAGTACAAAATCAGTGATCACTATACACAATTTCACCTAACAGTAACCGACCAAAATCGATCATTTTGGCCCAGAAATTAACAAATGAAAGTCTCTCATGGTTTTGAAGTTATCTTCAATAACCACATGTTTCTCCATCTCTTCGAGGGCAAGGCGAGCAGCTTCTCTATCCTTTTGCCGCTGCTTTTTGATGAACTCATTGGCTCTCATAATTTCTGCTTCTGCAGCTCCAAGCCTCTCGTTCTTGGCTTCGGTGGTAATTGTTGTAGTGTAGAGAGCATGGTGATGTTCTGCCTTAAGGATTGTGTTGGCAAACCGAGCCTTCAACATTGCAACCCTAGCAGCCCTTCTCGGAGACAGATCATTATTGATCTCATGATTCGATGCAGAGGTGGCTTTGACAGGAGAGGCATGACAGAGATGAGGGCGTAGAACTGTGACTGGTGTTTCACAGCAACTTTGGGATTGGGATGAAGAAACCTCACAAGAAGTTGATGGGGTACAGAGAAGGCCATGATCACCACCTTCAACTTCCTTGTTCAAACCCAAAGCACCTTCAAATTTCCTCTTCACACCCAACCCGTAATCAACTTCATTTTTCTTGGAAGCCAAGCCACCGTCCACTTTCTTCTTCAAACCACCTTCAAGTTTCTTCTTCAAGCCCAATTTACCACCATAACCACCACAACCATTTTTCTTGAAATCACCACCTTCAAGTTTCTTCTTCAAGCCCAGTTTACCACCACAATTACCACGACCATTTTTCTTGGAATCACCACCTTCAAGTTTCTTCTTCGAGCCCGTTATCAATGGATTGCACGGCTGATCTGAGAGAATGCTCTCAACCCACGCTTTGGTGGTACTAGAGAAACGCATATTGTTGAATTTGAATGAGATATAGAAGAAAACCCAAATGAATCCTTACGATAGAGAGAGAGTGTGTGAATCCTTAGTTGATTAGGAAACCCAAATGAACTATAATTGTTTGCGTTGCTATAAACCCAAGCAACTGGAAAAGTTGCTTTTAAATCTTCACGA